AAGGACGGAGTCGCAATGGGCTCTCCGTTAGGACCATTTTTAGCGGACGTATGTATGAGTAAGTTAGAGAACAACTATCTAAACGGATTTATGGACAAATTAGTCTGCTACAGACGGTACATGGACGATATATATTCTACCTCTCAGATAGTCATCTTCGCACGGAAGAATTAGTGAGGCAATTTAACTCAGCCAAGGCAAATCTAAAACTCTCGATTGAATCTGAGTGCAACAAACCAATGTCGTAGTTAGACGTTCAGATTAGCCGAAGATCTGACAGGTCTGTCCAGCGCAGTCTATAGAAAGACAACGTGGAAAGGGGGATAATCACACTTTGCCTGCTTCGTTCCGCTCAGCCAGAAACGGAAACTTGTTCGGTGCCTAACCGAGCGAGCAAGAAGGATATGTAGCGAGGACATACTTTCGGACGAGCTAAAGTTTGTACGAAGCGTATCCGATAGAAATGGCTATCCGGAGAGGTTCGTTCGGCGAAGCATGGAGGTACGAGAAGCGAAAGCGAAAGTGGATTCAGTGGGAAAGAAACCGATCTAATTATTGTTATTGTTCAAGGGGGACGGGATAGCTGAAACAACGTCTAGAAGGCTTTCTGACGCCATCGCTCAAAATTACTACGCAGGAAGCTTACGGTTAAGCTTCAAACTAGTGCCCACCCTGAATCAACAACTTAAGGATAGAATTCCAAGGTCAAGTACTTCATTCTGTGTATCCTCTTTCTGTTGCTCGTGTCGATACAGATATATCGGAAGAACCACCAGGAGACTGTCCGATAGAGGAAGGGACCACTGTCCACAGTATAGCGGCTTGACTAGATCAGTGACACGCGCAGTTTCTACACACCTGATCGACTCGAGCCACCAGGTCAGAGCGCATGAGGCGTTCCAGCCCATTTACCGAGTACCCAGATGCCACAAAAGAGCGGTTAGACTTCGTCAACTGGCAGCGGCCGAGGCAATAGCCACCAGGCTTCATGACCCTGACCTATGTACGCAAACGAAATTTGTCCAGGCACTAACCCAACCCTGGTCCCCTGTAACACAGACACATAGTGTGGACAACGTCACACATACAAAAACACTGTTGATCGCCGTGGGGCCAATAACCTAGCTTGGTCACTCAGACCATCTGGGTTTTGAACCTGTGCCCTTATCTGATGTTTATTTTCATGTCATCCATTTGTGGTATAATAGTCTGATGAGGAACCACTGAAAATGAACATTTGTTCTAATGTCTACTCCGGGATGTTGTATCAGTTGAAACAGACCAAGGATCCCATCTCATATCAGTTGGTCTGTCACGTGCCGTGCGACGGCCATGTTTGTCAGTTTCGTGGAACTCAGAGCAAGTAAATGATAAAATAACCAAAAAATAACTTTTAGTTCGGGTCTCTAGCAATTGCCATGTGTTTATTTATTTTTTTGATGGGGTATAAACTGGAGACCTTTTATTTGTGTTGCAGATCTTGTATATTTCAGCCAAAATTACCTCGACCTCCCCTAACTCCGCTTCCCTGGTAACCTCAACCATATTGGTGACATATGATGATTAAGACTGCGTTGTTTTATGCCAAGGAGAACCGCACAGAATCAATTTAAGCTCTTCTAGGTAACATTGTCTATACGTGTCAACTCATGCGACATACTAAGTTGTACCTCTCGAAACAGTCTATGCAATACGCTGCTTTGCTATGGAGTTATAAATCCCGATGTAGAATTCAAATCCGTATCTGACTGAGTTTGCAAACGTACGCTTACGATCGGCCAGTCTGTTTTCTGGGGACTCAGTGAATTCGTTAGGTTACGTATTTCGTCTACTCTCTTAGCTAGACTGTGCGCATCTGAATTCAATTAGACACTGAGTGTGCGGTAATAGCAGTGAAATGCGCATCATTCCAACCAGAAGAGTATGAACAACCTGGATAATAATAACAATTTGCTACCCTCTCTCAACTTGGAAACCCTTCCAAAGCTCCTGGCCGTCTTCCTGATCACATTCTGGCTCTCAAACTACCATTTATGCAAAACCAAGTTTTCTTCCAATAGAGTCAAAAGGTGAGGGTTTTTGCAGCTACCCATCATATTTGATAAAATAAAGGCTCAGTGTTAGGGTGTCCACTATTCTTGATTTTCACATATGATCTAGCGCAGTCAATAACTTCCGATTTCCTATTTTTCGCGAGCGGTATCAAAATATATCAAGTGATTAAGGAAGCGGAAACCCAGAAAGAGCTTCAGCGTGAAATCAAAACAATTTCGAATTTGTCAGTTCAAATTACCTTACCATTCAATGTGGAAAAATGTCGTGCTTATCCAATACACCATCGTCATGAATACAAGTATTGGCTTGGGTCAACATATTGCATACCACTTCCCAGAAACGCTACCTTGGTGTGTTCACACTAGGTGACCTCAGCTGTTCATGACAGCTTGAGACCGCTGCGAAAGGATGCAACCAGCACGTCAGCCTGCTGCGCAGGGAGATTTGCTTTATCAATCTTCCCGATGATGCACAACACGTACAGGCATCCTGCCGTCGGATACGCTATCCAAGCTTGCCAGTCATGTTTAGAGCGCAACCTAGAGGTGCTAGAGACAGCACAACACAGTGCAAAGAAGCACATCTATGATTTAAGCAAATTCTCATGATAGAAAACGATGAAATCAGTGAGCGTTTCAGAAGACGCTACCGACGACTACATGGAGATCCCATATTGGTGTACCGAATATTGAGCGATTCCAATCAGCATTGTTGCCATTTGCTAACTTAGCGACAGTAGCAGCCTCAGAGGTAATCACCTGAAACTAAGTGAACAGTATAGCTATCCAGAATGCCGACTGAAATACTTTTCGCTTCGCGTTTACCAACCTTGGAGCTATCGTCTAAATTCAGCTGACTCCTCTACTAATTTAGTAAGTAATCAAAACATGCACGGTTGTTGCCCTTAGCCCCATCCCCTCGTTACTTAAACGGTGTTACTTTGGAACATCTTTATGTACTCATTGTTTATTGTTTGCACTGGATTTATGTATAACACGGACCTAAGAAAGCGGGGCATGAGTGGGCGTTGTTGCTTTTATTTCCACCTCAAAATACGTCAAATGTGACTTCTCCCCGTATTTAGAAACTGGATGTTGGCAGCCCGAAAACAATGCACCAATGCAGTTTATAAGCTAAAATTCAATTCCCATTCACACTATCGATATGCAGCTGCGCATTTAAATTGACAAGCATTTAAATGGTGAGTCACGTGTCAGTTACTTTTGTAGGTTTCACCAAAGCATAATACGGGACTTGGTAAACATCCGCGATTTTATCCAGGACACATGAGTTTCCATTTTTCAATTTGATTTGAAAAGATGTATTCGGCTGACTCCCAACGTTCATTAACTAACTGAGCTAGCACAAACTGCAGTGTTATAACATCAAAGAAATTACGACGAACCAAAAGCGGAAATTCTTCAGTCTAATTCGCGTGAAACTACTCACACCATGCTATTAAAACGTAAGTTTGGCTGTACGGGTTTGGACGGTAAAGCATGCACGAAGGATGGTAGTACTTTCACATCTTGTGAGGAAAGTTGGGTTCATTGTTATCAAAGCACGTCCGGTGGGTTTTACGGGAGTGAGTGTAATCGGGCGTATGTTTCAGCATTCTCTACCGAAAGATCGAAGTCTTTCTGCCTGCTTGTGATGAGAAGACGATGACCCGAATTGTCCGAGACCTGCACCATTAGTACAAAGATCAGGTCAAAGAGCGATGTCCATCATGCTCTGAACGACCCCAGTCATAAATACCCCCATCTGGTGCAACAAGTTCACAGACTAGCCAACTTGTCTCCGAACACAGAACCAATATCTAGACGAAGTCATTCCCACCCGCCACTGAGTATATTCGAGAAATAAAACGATGATGCATACAACCAGCAGTACTCTGTCGTGCACATGATGTTGCATGGGATCAACCAGTAAAATCCCAGTATCGTCGTCACGAGCCCCATCATGACAGCCCAAAGGACAATTATCTAGGCACTTGGAGGTTGCAAGATAAAGAGCGCGCAAATAAATTAACTACTCAATACTGATATACTGGTTAACCTGTGACACGATGGCCCCCTAATTGCATGGTTGTCCTCGCGATCATCTTCACTCTTTGATATCAGTGCTACACCCATCAAGCGTTAGTTCAATTGAACAGACGAAAAGTTGGTGTCGAATGTAAAACCGTTCCCCCTAATTGTGCCAACTAACCGTTTTCATGCCCTTCTCAAATAATTAACGTTCCTTTGCCTTGGTTTTATTCAGTTGGAATTAACAATGGGTCATCTAATATAGTTGCTTCTGTGTTTGCAACGTGTTGTTATTATTTTATTTTGCTCACGTCGTTAAGTAGCCTTAACTAGGAGAGAAACCTGATACGTCAAGGTAACCAGTTTATGTTCTTGCGAATATGCCAGCAGCGATCCATTCTACGTTGGTAACAAGTTAGTGGTCAGTTTGGTAATTCTTATAGTTGCTGCGGTCATGTTACGGTCCGAGAAAGCTACCAAAAAGTAATCGTAATACAACTTAAAGCATATTTTGAGAAAACCTCTGGGATCGATGCCAGTTTAATGATCTACGGTATATAAAAAACTAAAGTGCTAGAGTTGGAATAGTAGTGAACAGTTGATTGAAATAAAAGATAAATTCTCTTTATTCCAGTGGACTATGGAATCACAATGATTGTAAATACACCAAAGTGATACATACAGTATTTTTTCCTTTATGTCACATAAAGTATAAACCGTCTGCAGGCTCCGACGGATAAAGGAGGTTCACGAAAATATCCGAAGTTCACATCGCAACACGGTTTTCTCCACAGTTCTTCCCGCAAATTAGGGCTTATCCGGCTATTTCGTGAATATATCTTCCATTGGTGGCTACAGCGTCTCTTAATCCCCTCTATCAGCTTACCGTTGCTTCCACTTGAACTTTACTTACAGGAAAGTTTACTTCAGTCGCTTGCTGTCATCCATGTCCCCATCTCGACTGGAGCCAACCTTATAAGCCAATTTCGGTACTAGTTCAAGCCCATCAAGTATACTGTCGAAATACTTGTTGCTTTATTCATAAAGTGAGTGGGTGACAACCTAAAAATATCGGCTGTCATGTCATAAACGTCCAACATATCCATCTCAGCGTTTGTTAAAATAAGGATCTTTACAGAAAGCACAACATAATCGGTTCGAAACGTTTTCAGGCGTTCACACATTAATGGGGCTTCGTTAATCAGTCCAAAGTTGGTTGAATTTTTAATAGAAAACTTTACCTAGCTTGTAAACATGTCTGCTGATACAGCCTCTTTGGAAACATTCTGATGAATTTTGAGGTTCATGTCACCGTCCAAGTCTGTCTTAACGCTACCGAAATTCGCAATTAGCGAATTGATTAGTGCACACTTGAAAGAGTACTGAATTAGTAGTTGTATAACTGGTTTGCTCACCATCAGCTCATAGTTGACACCTGGATATTGGATTGACTTTCCCTTAAATTGGATTGTTCTGTTCAGAACGTTGCCGGTGTATTTACATGTGTGGACAATACAACACATCAGCAGCTATTCAAAGATTAACCTATCCCAGATAGACCTCCACATTTTGTGCAGTGTAATTTAATAAAGAATTAGAAATGATTTACATATAGCAAACTACTGATCTAGCTTCCTTTCTAGAAAAACTTTGCTATATAGCACTGAGTTTCAATATTGGCTTCTCATCTATATACCTTGATTTATTCGTATAATCCTTATATAAAGCAATTATGTTAGGATAAGAAATCAAGGCAGTTTTAATTATTTTCACGAAACGCGAAGGTGACTCACAGACTTCCCGAAATACTTACACAGTATTGAAATTGGAGGTAAACAATGGCTGCATCTTTTCACCGCAGACTAACCAGCACGGTAGAGTCTTGCGGAGTTGCATCACAATTTCTGGTAGGTAATGGCCTACGTGATGCGAACTTGTCTCAATTTCCCTACCGATATTCACTCTAGTTCATGGTGTATCAGTTTGATATTCCCAGTCCAGACATTTAGGTTGAAGCAATTAGAGCTAGCATACAATTACTAGCTTACGACTACTTATTTGCCGATTATACTTTGCTAATGCAATGCACTTACAATTCGACTCCTGCTTTCCAAATTTGCAAAATCTCTAAGGCCAAAATCGGTCTCCAGCAAATACATTGTATTCGCGAAACAAAGCTGAGTGTCTTAAAGGCGTGTTTTGATCTGAAAGTAAAGGGATGGTCTGCTAGGACAGTCATACATAGCGATGTGTATTATGACGAATGAACAGTGTACTAACCTTGCATGACGGCGTTAGTATTAAATCACGGGAACAATCAGATAAGACAACTTCCAATTCAAAACTCATGAGGAGTCGACGCTATGCGCAATTAGATACGTCACACCATTTGGAACAAATGCCATTCTCAGTAACAAATATGCTCTATGACTTGTCCGATTCTAGCTTTGGTTCACTTGGAACCATGTCCCGTGGTTACACCGTGGTCACAACAGGTGGGTCAGATTGCGCAAATTAATCTTCAAACCAACAATTCATCGATGTGGTTGAAGGGTTTGCTGTTCAACAGGAAGAAGTGCTTTCCACGACTTAAACCTTTGCTAAGCTCCTGACGGTTGTTCAGTGAGTGTTTTACACAAACATCTTGTTAGCGAATTTATTTGAAAGTATCTGCCACAACCTCATGTATCTCAACTGTTTCATTTTCTCCCGGCTTTGGAAATGTCCCCACTTGGCTAACTAATTGAACGATTGGCCGTTAACTTGGACTCTTAATCTCTTGCGAATGGACAACAGGCGGTGTTCATCTACTGACTACCATGCTTATTCAGACCACACCCGAGGTATAGGATATAAAATTTTAACACCTTGTTTCCTCCTTCGAAAATGTCCTGGATTTCACCTGCAATTTACCTATGCCCAAACCATCCTTGGAATGAAATCTTCGCAAGGATGTCGCATATGGTCTATCGTGGAACAACGTTTCTCCCAGCTTCCTACTTTCGAGACCAAAGTGGATGAGAATGGTCTTTACAATTTGCCTTCTGGTCGTGGCACGCACATATAACGTTCTGCACCTCCTATTAAGCTCAGCCTCTATTACAGTTGACATGAGTCTGTTGTCTTGATGCCCCAAACGTTTGATAATAAATGCCGTTCGAGAGTTGTTTTTTTTAATTAGCGACGGTAGTTTGACGGAGTAGATTCGTCTTGGTTCATAGATTTTCCGTGGCCGAGGACCCAAACACCTTCCATCACATTGTGCTGAAGGCCTTCAACTGCGAGTGGAGGAAAATGCTTAATCATGTCCTTTTTATCCATGGCTCTTTACATGATCCTAATCGATGATATATTCCACTATCGCGCCGGCGATTAAGCGTATGAATTCGTTAGTTGTTCCGTCTTCTAGTTTCTCCCTTGCCGCTATATCCCACACGACTGTTTTCTTAATACCTACCTGCGTTTTCCCTATTGTGGATTTTCTATAACAGTTACTTTACCTCGCGATAGATTTTTCATTGTGCGGAATTAGTCTTGAGTATTGAACAGCTGCGCATTCATCTGATTTGCCAGACGCAAATTTTGGAATGTCTTTTCACCCGGTTCTGAACCAAGCATATCCCTGTTTTGCTTCTGCATGAATTGTCCAGGTGTGACACGCCATCAATCTAGCTTGTACATATTACGTTTGTCTTGGGATGTCTGTGTCTAATCGGCAGTCAAGCGGTAATCAGGGGCCGTAAAGAGAACGGACCGGTGGTATTACTTTTGATGTCACTGCGAGGTAGTTTGTGTGTGCTGAGCCTTCTAGCATATAGTTCATGTGTTTAACTACTCTTCCGTCTTGTGCAAATCGAGTGCCGACGAGACATAAACATTGTGCTCACCAGACCCACCAGATTGTTGTAGACAGATTTAGAGTTGAGTGGAACGCGGATAACACGGTGATATTGTAGATGTGCCGTCTATAATGCTGTCATATCTTTTTCCTTTTCAACTCAAGTATTTCCCTCAGACGGGATCTGCAAACTTTCGCTTTGTTAACCGTATTATGCCATTGCTCTATCATTGTACGTTGCTCACACACATCTGAAATTTATTAACTTGCAAGGTGCCCTTCGATTACAAATACAATTACATCAACTTTCGAATTCATTCTGAAATCATGCGGGACAGCTACCGTGGGGTATTCGGGGGTTTGGTAACTGTCGTTTTACTGGTTCGGTAAGCTGATAATAATTCAAGTCATCAAAAAGTCACCTCAAAACGAAACCAGCTTGGACATAGGTGGACAGTCCAGGTAGATAGTATAAATGAATTTGGTCAAATCGTGCGGACACACTGCTACAATGGCTAGCTATATTCCGTGCATTTGAATGAAAAATTACAACTTTATGATCATCATTCCTAAAACTCAAACGTGGAATGACATATAGTCAATAATTAGTTCTAGGAAAGACAGTACTTATGCAAATAGCTCGATTGATGGACGGATGATGCAAGCGCATTGAAATGGTTGATCCAGCTTTAATGAGTAGTCGGTTTACAGGGTTTGTCTACTAGGCGCTTAAACAAATAGTTCCACTAGGCGTATTATGACAGAAATTTTCCGTAGCAATTGAGTACGCATATAGAATCAGTACCAGTTGGAAACAAATAGGCGATAATATCAAATGCGTGTCTAAATTCAACAGTTTAGACAGTCCAGCTGACGAAGCAGGTGATCAGTGCTGACTCGCTGTGCATTTCGCTTACATTCGATTTTTGTATTGATACTTGACTGGATAACTACTGGATAACCTATGTACATTCCAGCAAAACCAGACTGCGACCGTTATCCACGCCAATATAAACGGAAGTATGCCATTTGCCCATTACACATATTTTCAACAGTTATTAATGCAGGACCCGCTGACGAGACACACTGGTTATCGGAACGAACTGTGGTGATTCCCTGCTCATCCACTGGTAGACAAAGTTTGCACTTATCGCAACTGATGGTGCGTCATGTCATCGTTACGTACGTACTATCACACCACAGCGCTGTATTGTTTACATATTTGTGTGCTGGGCTTTAACGACTAGTGATTAATAAACACTTACATTATTACATACTGTATCGTGCATTGCATACGAACAAAACGGATACAGAAGTGGACACCACCGGGAATGCTTGTGTTTTCAATCGTTCTTACTGTGCGGAAAGTATTGATCCTGACGATTATATCATGTTGCTTAGTACTTTATGTTCTGAGTGGAAGGGTGCGATTAATGATTAGAATGGATGTTTAACAAACTCTCAAACAAACGCATGCCCGATTACGAGAGGCAGAATGAATCCAACCTGTTTATCATCACTGGACGCTTCAAGGTGTTGTGCACCACCTTTGTTGCGGCAGGGTGGGTGAACATGAATGATAAAACCATGTTGTGGCTGACCAAATTATTTCGTGCTGTAAAGTAATTTTGTTTTGAATAGTCATTGCCCAATGATTCCAGCAGACAAAACTACCGGTAATTGTTGCAACACTGTGAATGTATGCGGTTTAACAAAAGGATCTTTGATGTTCAACTAGCATCAAAATCTGCTCGGGTGGAACATGGAAGAGAACTGAAGCCGCGCAACAACTCACAAGTGTGATTGGTTAAGCCAAGTTTTGAGCACTACTATTCACTACTATTACTACTACTACTACTACTACTACTACTACTAATAGCATTTACCAAATGTAAAACAAAAAGAGATAATTAAGGGATGTATCGACTGTCAGTGTGTGTGAACTAGTACATGTATATAGCTTCCCATCCCTTCAAAAATGCAGTGTTTTCAGCCTGCTCCTTTCGTATATAAACACATTCATTGAGTTTCCTAGCAACTTAAGAAGACAGTAAGGTTACTAAGGATTTACTACAACAGAGTATCTGTGCGAAGAGGACCAGTGTCGAAGGAATGGCTTTCGTTTCTCGCTGCGTTCAGTGATTGGAGCACATCAACGAATTTTCATAAAGGTTGCGAATTGGAAGTTGATCAACGACCACACGCTGATTGGAGCAAGTTAGTCTGCTATTTTGCAGCAAAACATCCGGACTAGTTGTCGATAGCAGCGATACGATTCCCTGTATTTTACTGACAACTTGTACGGTTAGCATATAAAGTTAAATAAGGAGTAGGCCATTTTGGACATTACCTAATCAATCGGACCTTTTCATGTGAAAAGCATTTTGAAGTTAGACATATTGTTTCGATGGCCAGTTTCACTCCGTTTGGCCTACGATTGTCTTGGTCTGAACGCGAATGCAGACACATTCGTTTGCTGTCCAATGCGCTTTTCGCAATTTATCTACATGAGACCAGTGGATCCGACTGGCCTGGTCAACTTGATATCTTCCTTATTTCTTGGAATCGTCAATTTATCAAAATTGTCTCAGTCAATCTTTTTCGGGGAATCGGTGTTCTTGGTTGGCTATAATAGAAAAGGTTTGATACTAAAGAGCGAAAATGCTTCGAAGGCGGTTGTTTTGCTATATCAGTCGTGGAATCTGTAATTCAACAATCATCCGCTCAATTTATACCTTCGGAGTAGAAGCAATGAATCTTCCAACAATATAAAAGTAGCCCCTTCGTGCAAACTCAGAAGAGTTATGGACACAATGTTTTGTATTCCCCTAGAGTTCGACCATGTATTTGTTCGGATCTTGATTCCTACGGATATTCGTGTTACCACCAGTTTTTCACAGTCTGATACGAGTCGTAATCTTGTAGTCTGCAATATTCTAGTAGTTAAATCGGGAAGTGTCCATCACTCGTGGGATCTGGCCCGGCAATACGTTTTCAATGGCACACTGTCAGTTTTAATTTTCAGTAATATGCCAGTCATTCGTTCTTTCCCATCTGATCACATTTGACAGCCTTAATTTTTCAGTATTGCTTATTTACCCCATCTATAAACAAAGTGTCATCTGGCCTTCAGGCGCCAGCTACAGTTCATATACTGTGTGAAGTCAGACTGTGATTACCTGCATCCTAGTTTTGCTTTGGAAATACCGTGTTATAAGTGTTTACTCGGTGTGCAATTTGCACCAATACTTTGTCTTTTTCGTACTTCTCCATCTGTGAAAATTTGGTGCATATTCTCCGGCTACTGTCAGAGACCACTGATTGGCCCACTGCCATCTGTGTCCGCCATTTTGGATTTGTTCTACAGCAATCGTACAGGTGTCTGCCAGAACACCAGCTTGACCGACGGCGTTGGGATTCAGCATACCAGTACAGAAGTTGCAACAAACGGCTTCCGCAGGTCTGACAGACACAATGTCACGTATTGCTTGCTCACAGAAAGCTAAGCTCAAAGCTTCTGAAATATATGTTATTGTGGCGTAGACAGCTTTGCAAAATTTGTGCGATTTGGAATATAATGCATAAACTGTAGAAAATACTTCCATTCTCGATGTGCTCGTCTTACACTCAGCCAGATAAAAAAGCTTAATACGACGACTGATTCTCTCTGGTTCTGCACTGAGTATACGTCTCTTGCACTCGTCAGATGTATACTTGTGTCGGCGCAGAAGTATGATAAGCGGACAATGATTGTAGAGCAGGCAGCAACCGTGAAAGCTGTCCCACATGAACCAGACTCATCAGTGTCTCGAACACGATGAACAATGAACGATGATTTTTAACGGGTAAAAAAGCAGGTGTTTGACATGTCCCGTAGGGTGTTTAGCGTGACAAAAAAAGATAGCAAAAGCATAATGGAGTCGTCAGTTCGGGCGCTTACAGGGGGAGTTGGAAATGAGAATGTACGCACATAAAGCAGCAGGGGAGTGATTATTGTTCACATCATAGGCGAGAAAAATAAAAAAGATAGCAAGGACAGCGCTTACTCGTGTGCAACTATCTTGGGCCGACAGGATACAGAAATCCAGTTTCTATAGTGGTAGCGTGTATCAAATTTCGTGCAAGGCGTTTGTAGTGACTCATTCTCGAGTAGGGTTATGACACTATCCACTGTCTGTTGTGCGTTAGTGCCAGCATCTGGTGGTCATGAGCTATAGCACGTAGTGTAAATGTGACAGGGTATCATCGAGG